TGCCGTTCCATTTCCAAGAAGAAATAAGTGATATATTTTCCTTTCGTAAAATATTCATCCTTTAATTTTATTTCATTTTTTTCATTATCAATAAAAAGTTCGTTTTCATCTTCTGATGATTCCTCAAATGAATCTTCTGTTGACTCTGCAGAGAAATCACTATCTTCACTATTCTCTTGTGGCATTATGTTCTTTCTTTTTAATAAAAAATTTATGTGTTTTTTGTAAACAATTTATATTATCAGAATTTGCAATTTTTGAAAAAGAATCAAAATATTTTAAAGAATCTTTTATTTAATAAATGTATATTTTTTATGTTATAATCTTCTTTTAAAAATGTAATTTTTTTATTTAAATGTCTGAATTACATTTAATTTTTTTCATCTTTTTTCATCTCTTTGAATATTACTTTCACTAAATGCTTTCCTATGTCTTTGAATATGCTTACATGTGAATTATTAGGATAAATGATCATTTTGTTTAAAAATTTGAGTTATATTTGATTTATTTTCATGAGAGATAATTTTATTGTTTTGAAAGTTGTTATATAAATTAATATTTTTTGTGTTATCAAAATTAATATCATATTGAAATTTAAATATATTTATTTTTTCATGATATTAATATTTAAATTTTCAATACATTTTTCAAAAGCTTCTTCAAATTTTAAATTTTGCTTTGCTTTTTAATTTGCCACTTTTATTTTGTTTAAATACTTTGTATAATTTATTAAAAAAAGAGGTTTTTTTTATTTTATTTTGATTTATTATTATTTACTTTGATTAGATATGTTTAATATATAATTGAATAAATAGAATAAAATATAATATTTAAAACAATTTTTGAAATATTGATGTTTCTATATCAAAGATTAAGTGTTAACTGACTATCAGTAAAATCACATTTCCTTATTTAAATATAATATAATGAAAGCAATTTTGCATGTAGAAGAAGATAAGGTGGGGATATGCAAGGTTATTATCTCATCAGTTAAATTGAAAGACAAAAACAGATAAACAGAAATGACAAAAATAGAAAATTTATCACAATAATCATAAATAAAAAATAATATTTAATATTATATATTTTAATAATTCTTTAATGAATAAAAAAATTATTTAAAACAAATCATTCATCAATTAATTAAATAATTAATCTTAAGTTTTTAATTTCTCAGAGAAATAAATTATTTTTAATACAATACATTTTATACAAATTTTTAATAAAATATGATTCTTACCTTCAATAAATGTACTTTGTCGATCTTTATCCATAAAAATATTATTCTTTTCTATATTTTCTTGGACATTATATGTATTATGTAAATTTGCTATGTAAATTTCTTCTTTTTCTATTATTGCATTTGTTTGACAATTTCCATTAGCAGAAGCTACTTCAGATTTAACAGAAGTATGACTCAAAGTAGTGGGAGATAATCTACTAACAGTTAAACTTTGCGGTGGTGTTCTACTGCGTTCAGTCATTGCACAGCATAATGAAAGTTTTGTGGTATGAGATCCATGTTGTGAATTTTCCAGTTTAGAATTCTTATTTGAATTACCATTTTTATAAGATGTTTCTAAACATCCAACTTTGGTCTTTTTATTCATAAGCATACGACAAAGAGACTTTTTCTTTTGCTTTGATTTAGGAGAAATATCAGCTTTAGCATTTGTTATGCTAGAAATATCAGTTTCTTCATATTGTTCCATTGTATTTGCAGTTTTGTATTTTAAATATCATATAATTAGTTCACTATTAATGAATAAAGTACTTTATTACTACATATTCCAAATATATTATTTAAAAAAATTAATAGTAATAGTTTAATATAATTGATCTACTATATATTTCACTATTAAATATAAATCAAAACAAAAGCATTTCTAATTTTTTCATATAATTATAATTATTTTTTTTATAATTTAACATATAAAAAAGAATTCTTTTAATATATTTATGATTATTAATTATAGATAATTATAGATAGATAATTATAGAATTAATTATAGATAATATTAAATTAATTATAGATACTTGTACGTATGTGAATAATGTGCAATTATGTTAAAAATAATATATATTTTATTGTACAATATAGACTAGAATCTTAAACAAGAATTATCTTGTTAACTAATCTATAATACTTTTATCATATTAATGTATTACCATTATACTTCTCATATTTAAAGAAATACATATAATGTTATTTTAATAAATAATTGCACTTCAAATATTAATAAATTTAAGATTCTCATATAGTGAATTATTTATGATATGATAATAAATAATGTAAATATAAATAATGCATATTTGTAAATATGATATTTAGAATGACAATTTAGTTTCCACTTCTTGATTTTTTTTTATAGATATAATATTCATTTTCTTTATATATACATATATTCTTTCATAATTATTTGAAGAAACTATAGTTAAATTTTTCAATATTGTGCTGTAAACTAAATTTGATAAAAAAGCATTGTGCTCGTTAAAGATTGCAGGTTAATTAGATTCCACTTATATATACTTCTCTTATATTATTACGAAATTCACTTTGACTTTGAGTCTCACATTGACTATGCATTGACACGTCATTCACACTAAAATTCATAACAAACTGCATTGTGATTGAAAATACTTGAAAAACGATGATTAACTCTAACTTCCGCCTCCATATTTAAGTGAAAAATAAAATAAAATATATAACATATATGTTATATTTTCAAAAATTTAATACAAACTTTGTTATAATTATCATTTTAACAATAATTTGTTCCTATTTTAGATAAAACTGTCACAAATCTAAATATCCGTATCCTTCACTACTTCGGCGCTGATTTCTAAACCTGCGCAGCTGTCAATCAAGCAGACGACAACATTATTACATTTCGATATTTCATATAAAATAATATTTTTCTAATTAATATTTAATATAAATCATTATAAAAAAAGAATTATTAATATTTTAAAATATTTTTAAGATCAACATATAATAAAATTATATTTTTAACTTATTAAAAATATAATTGTCAAATCTAGCAGACGACGGTCATTGGCGCCTTAGTGTTGGCAGGAGCCATCTATGATGCAATATACTTCATATCACTTAATATATGCATATAAGTATACATATATATACATATATATTCGTTAGCTAGTGTCGTTTGGCGGGTTGCGTCACTATAATGTTTGTTTACGTGACGATAAGTGTACATTTAAAGAAATACAAATATACAATTGAATTATCATAAAAAATATATATATGTTCAATTACTATAATTATATCATTATAAACAAAAACAGTTATTTATTCCAACTTTATAATTGTTTGATAATAAACAATGTAAATAACATGCATTTAAATGTAAACAAATAATCGTGTGTGATTCATGAACAATAGTGTAAAATACATATTTAAATTTCAATCGTATAGCAATTAATATAAAGATTATTAGCTATATAAATTTATATATTTGTCAAAGAAGATTCCAGAAAGACGTAGAAGCGATACTATACACATAGGGAAATGTTTGTATATGTATATCGCCGCGATTTTTGAAAAATATTTGTTTGATGTTAATAGAAACAATATAGATTTGACGGAACAATATAACATAGATTTGTTAATTATTAAGACTTAATTATAGTGAATTATTATTATAAAATTATACTAAATAACATCGAACTATTCTAAAAAAAATCAAATCTAGTAACAAAAGAAATGCCAGGACATGGTAAGTATTTTTTTTTTAAATAATGTATATTAATTTAATTATAAACATAATAATATTTTTTAATTTTTATATGATATAAATAAATAATTTTATATATTTTTAGAAGTATTTTTTATAAAAATTTTTTAATTATTAATTTTTAACTTTATTTAAAACTAACAATATTTAATGTTTATAATATATATACATATTTATAAACATATATTTTAAGTTTTAAATTTAATATAGAATTTTGTATTATATAAAATTTAAAAATATATAGATAATTAATATATAAAAAAAAATAATAAAAATAATAATAATAAAAATAATAAAAAAATTATTTCTAAATATAAATATAAATATATTTATAAATATAAATATCGAATTTTTAAAAGAAACTAATTATTAATATAAATAAAATAATATATATAAGTTTATGTTATATTAATAATAATTTCTTATATATTAAAATTTTTAATAAAAAATTTTTAATTATATATATTCTATTTTTTGAATTATCAAATTTTTCAAATTTTTCAAATTAATTTTTAAAATTTATACGCGCAATTCTATGTAACATATGGTTAGAATTCTAATAAAAAAAAATTTAATAGATATAGATCATGAATGTAGTTGATGATAAGGGTAGTTTCAAGTTTTCATATAGTAATTATTAATAATAATAACATTAATGCTATCATTAATAAATATGATAGTACACATAGAACTTAAACATAAAAATTTTGTTTAAAATATTAATTATATTTTATATTTCAAAAATTTAAAAAATTTAAAATTATAAAAAAGATTTTAAAATGCACGTTTTAAACGATTTTATTACATATTATTTATAAACAAATATATTTTAATAAATTTAAATATCATTTATTATTATATTAATGAGAAAATATTATTTGTAAAATTCAATTTAACAAATAAATTTAAAATATATATGTATATTTTATATGATTAGTTTTGTTAAATAATTTAAAATAATGTACTTAAACAAATTTTAACAAATATAATAATTTTCTAATTTAAAATCCGTTATTAAATATGTTGATCATTGATATAAAAAAAAAGTAGTAATAAGAATCATCAAAAAGGATTATACATATATGTAAGGTAGAACGTATGATTATAAACGGATGAATGTAAAAAATTAGTAAAAGAGGAAATAAGATAGAAACGTAATTTGCGCCGCCACCGCGAGGTGTCAGCATTGCATGCGGCTGGCTCGCTGGCCACCATTGTTGAAATTCTGCTTTGGTTGATGCCCCGACGATTTTTTGACCAAAAATCGTAAATTCGCCAGCCCCTGGCAAGGGCCCTGTGCGGAAGGTGCGTATCCCGTGGTAATCCTGTGACTATGTCAAAACTATAGCAATCGTCAGTGGCATGTTTTACAATAAAAGGCCTACCGGGAAAAGCCAGTGAAATTGAATGTGTCCATCGATTTACGCGAAAGAAAGAGGCATCCATGTCCGTGTCGTACGTCTTGTCGGGGTGTTGGTGTTGTGTGCGCTGCCTGAATTGTGCATGGTACGTGCGTGCATGCGTGCCGGTACAATGCAACGCGTTTATCTCGCGCATCATGCAATCTGTCGATCTTAAATTCTTGTGTATGAAGTGAAAATTTCAATTATCGGAATGTTCTGGGAATGAGATATTTGGGCGTCAGATAGATCGCGCGGAACTTGCAATTTTTGAATAAGTGCACATAGTTCCGCGTGTCGGCACGCGCGGCTCGCGCGTTATCGACAATACTGTCTAGGTGCGGGAACTACATCTTTGCTTGCGTTTCGTTGTGTATGTGCGTGAAGTTTACGGGGTTAGATGTCTTCTTTCCACGCTTTGCACGTTGTGCGTGCATAGACGTGTGCACACGCAACGCACGTCATTGATATATGTATACATACATAATATCCGTGTGTTTCTATGGGTGTATATGCGCGGCTTGGTTAACGTGTTTTCTTCGTATATATGCGTGCTCTAGTGCCGTACATGTACGCATACTGCATGCCATTGGAATTCACGAAAAAGTACACGAACTGTATCCTGCTACCACGCCGTTGGATGAAGAAATCGAAATACACAGTGTTACATTCGCATGCCCATCGCTTCCCTCGTGGGTAACATCGGCTCTGAAATATTTACAGTGTTATTACTTACGTTGTGCTTCTGTGAAAACCGTTAGAATTTCTTTTCGATACTATTGTGATAGTTTTTTTAAAAAGAAATAATGATAAATCTATGATGAAAAAATTTCAAAATAAACTTAACTTAGTGCTTTAAAATTGTTGAATATATTAATGTTGACACAAATGACAAAATACTGTGATTTTTCTTCATTATGTTTAAAATTTATCCTTAGATCTTCAATTTATATTTTATAAATTATATATCTTTTATTATTTAAACATATTGTGAAGGGGTACTTTCAATTATGTATTGAATTTATATATAATTATTGATAAAATAAGATTGTTTTTTCTATTTCAAATGGTTTTTATCAATTTTTGAAGTTAAGAGATTATATTTACATTTTTTTTTAAATGCAAATACATTAAAATTATCAATAAAGATATTCATTTATAATATTGAAAATTATAAAATTGTAAGACAACCACCATTAAAAAATGTAAACATTGCAATATATCATAAACTTTGTTGCAAAAAGAATTTGCGCTTTGTGAAATATATAAATTACATTAAATATTTTAATATAAAAAATTGATTTTTATTATTATTTAAAATTAAAAAAAATAATATTTAAATAAATTTTTTGTATTCTACAAATTTATGTAATTGTATGAATTGTTACAGAATATTAAGAAGTTATAATTTTGTATTTATATTATTTATTTGATATTTTTATTTATATTTCTTTATTATTAATATAACAAAAAATAAATATTTATTTGTTTGTATTTTTTTATAATAATTTCAGAAATAGAAAATATTTATAATTATAATATTACATTAATAATATTATAAAAAGAAATGGCCAAAAGTTCTGATTTATATCTTTACTTATCTTTTTGTGTTAATTATTACTAATACAGTATATTTTCTTATAATAATTTCAGAAATAGAAAATATTTATAATTATATATTACAAGGAGGAACGGCCAAAACTTCTGATTTATATAATTCATTAAATAATTATCAATATTACTGCACACAATATATACCATTAATGAATATTAATGAACAAAGCGTAAATATTTTATATCAATATTATGGTGTGAATTGTCAAAATATATGGACTATTTTCAGTAATGGTAAACATAATTTTTAGCACCTCTTTCACATACAATTTATTATAAAAAAGGAAACTTATTTTTATGTAATTTTTTAAATATTATTTATTTTTTTAAATATATTTGTATTTAAAAATTTGATTAATATATAATTTCTTAAATTTTTAATTATAAAATAAGTTATGATAGAAGTCAATTTTCAATGATAATATTTATTTACAGGGCCATTTATACTTGGAGTTGCGCCAAAATGGGCGCTATCAAATAATTTCATGCAGTGGGATTACATACAAGAATTGGTAGCACATGGTGATGTGCCTGATGTATATGATTTACGTCACAAGGAAGAAAATATAAGTGCATCAGATTTAGATTTATCTTATGTTAATCAGTTTATAAACTTCATACAACCTATAAATAATAATAAAGTAGCAAATTCTGATATACAGAAAGATATAACTGATAAATGCTTATCAGAATTCTCAGAACTTGTGCTTAAAAACCATAAGGAACATTGTAGTACCTGTTATAGTGACGATAATAAAATAAAAACAACTAATTTATTGAATACTAATAAAGACACAGTCATTTATTCATTTTGTAAAAACAAAATTGAAAATTCACCTGAAGCGAAGAAAGAAATTGATCATTATCATAAAATTTCTGATTGTTTTACTTGTTTATCAGAACAATCAAATATACAAAATATTACACAGTACAAGACTTTGTCTAAAATTTTGGAACAATATAAAAATACTTATAATCTTCTTTGTGATTCTGAGGAAGATAAGCCACTTAATTTAATAAAAAATTTGGAAGATAACAAAAATTGTTGTAATAAACAAAGTGAAGATAACAAGAAACTTTGTAATTTTACAGATATAAAAGTATCTATAAAGGACTGTGCCATTTCAAATCAAATAAATCATTCCAATAACATAGAAAATTGTTACATTACAAAGTACAAGGAAATAGATTATGGTTTATTAAAATTCTCAGATCTAGATGAGATATCTTCTAACATAAAAATTAACAAAACATTACTTAAAACTCCAAAACATAAATTATGTAAAAATTTAGAAACAAATTCAGATTGTGTACCAAATAAATATTTAGAGCAAGAAAGTTTTCTTGCTCTTGATAAACATTTGAATGATAAAATATCATTACTTCTATGTGAAAAGAAAAATAAAGATCTTTCTTATATACATTCATATTTGAATGTCAAAAATACAAGTATTAAAAGTGAATCTTCAGACGAACAGATAAATAAATCAAAGCACACACATTTTGCGAGTGCTTACAAATCAATATTAATTAATTGGGAGGATTTCGAAATGTCAGGACAATATCCAGGTCATAGCCGACCTCCGGTTGGTACTCCTCCTCCTCAGACGGTTTGGAATCATCTTACAATGGCACAAAGTCAAGGTAATATTTTTAAATGTTTTTAAGATGTATAATATAAAAAAAAAATTTTTTTGTTAAGTTAAAAATAATTTTTGTAGTTTCAGGCTTGAATATTCATCCAACAGCTTTATCAGGTGCTGCATTAAGTCCAGCAGGATTTTACACACACCCATCTATGGCAAGAGCATCTCATATAACTTCACAACTTACACCACAACTTGCACATACTCAAGCACCTCCAACATGGCATACACCAACTGTTCCATCAAAGACTGTTACTCCAGCCAATACTCCAGGAAATCCTTTGTTTAGTTTACAAATGTTGGTAGATAATAGGCAGAACCAAAGTCAGTATAGAAACTCACCAGGTTCACAAAATACATTAGATTTATCTTCCACATCTGAAATTATTCCTGAAAATTACTCTCGAATACCTCAAGATATTCCAATAAGTTTAACTGCAAGAAATGTAGATAAAGGTAGCAGAAATGGAAATATTATTTCTCCTCCAATACCTCTAAATGGAGAAACTTCGTCTGATAGTGGAATCAGTTCGTCGGTCCCAACACCTAATTCGGTTAGTGAACCAGTTTCACTTTCAACTAAAGAAGTTACAACACCTAAAATAACAGTAAAAAATTTTGAAAGCAATTTAAAAGGAGTGGCAAATCTTCATGATAAGATTAAGGAAATGAATGTCGATAATTTTACGCAAAAAGTTATAAATTTACCACCTAGCGTAACAATTGAAAGGGTAGTTTCAGAAAAGAAAGAACCTGAAGTTACAAAAAATAAAGATACTTTAAGTGTTATTGCACAAGTGCCAAGAAATGTTCTACCTGTTATTGTAAATCTTACATCTAGAATGGATAAAGATGTAACAGATAGTCCAAAAAGAGAATCATCTTCAGAACGAGATAAAAAAATTGAAGAGACAAATGTTAGATCACCTAAAAATTTGCCAAAAAGAGGTAAGAAAGGTGTAGATTCTCTATTAGAAAAATTAGAAGGTGGAAATAAAAAGCTTGGTAGCACAGAAAATATTGGATCTGTTATTGTAATGCCAGTAGAAGAAAAAGATACCTCGAGCGTTAAAAGTATGTCTCCTGATAGACAAAAGTCGAAATCTCCAAATAGAGAAGATGAAGTAGTATCTCCAGCATTTAGCAATGACGATTCTAATGATAATACTAAACAACGCAGAAAAAGAAAACTAGAAAAACCTGTACGACTTAGTAAAGACTCTAAAACAGAAGTAGAAGATATGGAATTAGAACCTACAGAACCAACAGAAGCTAGAACAAATGAACCAATACCAGAAGAAAGAACAAATACAACTTCAATTGTAAAATTAGAAGACAATATTGATACAACAGAACAGAGAATATCTGAAAAAATTGAAGAAAGCGTAGAAGAAACAAGTGAAGAAAATCAACCTATTAGAAGGCGGAGAAGTAGTGAAAGTACACCTCCTAGTTCAACTCCATCAAATCAAAGGGTGAGAAGAAAATCTAGTGATGATGCAACTGAATTTTCAAAAGTAACAAGTCCAAAACCTGTAAATAATACAAATCCATTTAATGAGGTTGAATCAGAACTTGAAAAAATGTTTGCTGGTATTGTTGAGACAGAGACAGATGTCAAAAAAGAAGAATCAAAATCAGAACTTACAGAATCCGAACTTCAAACTGGTAGTACAACAAAAGCTGAAAATTTGGAAAATAATATATTGCATACAAAAGAGACACAAAATATAAACCCCACTGATGTTTCTTCTACTGTCGATACCAAAATATCTGGAAAGAAAGGGAAGAAAACCAAAGTTCAGGGAGGTAAACGAAAAATGTCTAGATCATCAGAAAATATTTTTGGGACTGTCGGCAATGATATACCTCAGAAAGAAATCAAAAAGAGAAAAGTATCTAAAAGTTCAAAAAAACAAGACGCCTCGAAAAAGACTAAAAAAAATGTAAAAGTAGATGGAATAAGAGAAATGGCATATGATTCTGGATCAAATGCAAGTTCTATTAGATCTCGTGGACCAGTAGTTCATGTTGAAGGTCCAAGAGATAGTCCATTGAGCATTCAAGTAGTTAATGCTCCACGGGAAGAAGAAGAAGAAAAAAGTAAAGAAAAACGAAAGGCTATTGGAAATAGTAATGCGGGAAGAAGTAAGAGGCTCAGTCATCAAAACGATTTAGATTATAGAGGTATATATTTTTAATTTAAATATGTATTTAAAAAAATATTTATAAATATAAATTATAATAAATAATTTCATTAATATATATTTATAATTTAATTTGTTATATATTTTATATAGGTAAAGTCAGTAGAGCAGGTCTCTTTAGTTCAACATTATCGTCGCGTTATGATGCACATACAACAGATTCGACATGGGTTTGTGTATTTTGTAAACAAGGTCCTCATTCTGTAATTCCTGGGGATCCGGCTCGACCACATCCTAATTTAGCTGGTCCACATATAACACCTGGAACATACACTGTATGTGTATTATTTTTTTTTTCAAGTATTTATATTAAATATCTTTCAATTCAATTATTGATTATACATAAAATTGAGAAATAATATTGTTAAATTATAGGTTCCAGCTGGTGTCTTGAGTGATTTATTTGGACCATATTTAATTGGCAAAGAACGTTTAGAAGATGGAATTCTTTCTGCTGATGAACAAGAAATTACTACAGAACAAAAAAAAGGCGGTAAAAATAAAAGAAGTTTGAGGTATGCTGGTTTAGCCGATCAATTTACTGCAAAAATGGGTAAAAAGAAAAGAAATTCCATTGAAAGTAACACTAATGCCATGTTTACGGGAATGACCGTACTGCCCGGAGAAGAACAACGTTGGGAAGTTTGGCTTCATGAACAATGTGCTGTTTGGGCAGCTGGAGTATACATGGCAGGTATAGTAAAAATAATTTCTTTATAAGTGTTTATTATATATATATATAAAATTGATTAAATATAAAAAATACGGTATTATAAGATTCTGAAAAAATTAATTATTATAGGTGGAAGAGTAACAGGTTTGCAAGAAGCTGTGTGGGATGCAGCAAAATCGATATGTGACTCTTGTGGTTTAACAGGAGCAAATATTGGTTGCGTTAAACGTGGTTGTAAAGCTGTTACACATTATCCCTGTGCATTAACAAAAGGTTGGGACTTAGATACTAATCAGTATATACCGAAATGTAACCTTCATCGGATTACGTGAAACTTCGGTGAGTTTGCTTATAGATTATTAAAAAATATATTCAGTATTTTACAATATATGGTTTTAATTTAGAGCACCGAATGATGATTAATAGTTATAAAAAATTATATTCAAATTTATTTGTAAAACAAATTTGTTATAAAAATATACATTCAAATTAACAAAGCGTAAAACAAAACATCTTCATATATTTATATATATAACGGGATATATTTATATATAACAATTTAATATTTTATTTACTATTTATTATAACTAATATTTTTTGTTGAAAAAAATTGAAATCTAATTTCAATTTTAATAAAATCTAATAATTAATTAATTTATATTTTTCAGCATTTAATAATTTTGAGACGTTTTGAAATTACGCTTTGCATCATTCGATGCATAAGTGTGTTTGAAGTGTGAAAGTAAAAATGTTAAATGTATAAAGGACAGAAGTATTGTAATTTGCATACACGAAATATCAATATGCTCGACAGAAATATCTTCCAATGTACAAGATGTTGAAACGAGAATGCTGTTACTGTCTTGAGAATTAAAAATGAAAATGGAAATTAACGAAAATGAAGACGGAAATTCTTCTCGTTAATTAAATTTAATTAATTTTCTTGGCCTGTGGCCTTGAACAGTGGCCTTTTTGACCTAATGTAAAAGGAAGATTTTTTAATTTAAAATCTGTAGTATAGATGAATTGTTGCTGAGGAACAATATTAATCAAAAAAGTATTTGCTTTTTTATTAATATTTATGAAATTTGAAAACAAATTTTTCCCTAAAACATCATGTACGCAGGAATAATGGGGCATATTGTATCAAAATTTGAACAAAAATTATAATTCAACAAAAAAATGAAACAGCACTGAATTTCTTCTAAGTTGTATGTGTATATATAAAATGAGATGGATTATTAATCAATTAAATTGATGGAATTTGAAGATTCTTGACACGTTTCGAAAGAAGTGTGGATAAGAAATATATAGACAAGTGTTCTCCTGTGAATGTAAGAAATCACCTGTAAATAACAAAGTTCTTATGTGAAAAATGACTATTATATTATTATACAATTTCAATGATAGCAAAATATTTTTTCGTTTTTTAAAATCATATTGCTTTAGTAAGCATGTGTAGTTAATGTTCTTTATTGCGGGAAAATATTAGTGTAATAATACTTATTTCTATTATAATTTTTTGAAGATCAATTGTGACATATAAATCTCATGTAGGTGTAAATAAATAGATTTTCGCTCATATATTTCCTTTTATTTCTTAACCTTGTCTATTTTATAGCTACATATTAATTTATAAATCATTTCTTTATTTAAAGAGAACGAGCTCACATGTTTACTTGAAAAGAGAACACTTGTAATAAATGTAGCTATTGTTATAATCTGAAAAAGAATGAAGATTTGTTTCTGAAATATTATCTTCTCTTTTTTTTGGCATGTGACGATTATAATTTCATTGTATACTATAATTTATGAATGTGAAACCAGTGATTAAAATTTAATAGCATATATACAATTTAATGATTAAATTAATTGCTACTTATTATTATACAATTTATGATAATTACTGATTTATATTATTTTTTTCATATTATTATTATTGTAATCATTTGCGCTATCATTATTGTCATTGTCGTTTTCATCAAATTTTGTAAGAATATAAAAGAATCAAGATTTTGTAATAACAAATATAAGCACATTGATGATATTGATTCTCTTGATGTATCAGGGAGAAATAGTAAAAAGCAGAAAAATTGTATAAAAATATATAGAATAAAATGTATATATAATATTACTTCGAATAGACGAAATATATATATATATGGATGTGTGTGCGTGCCTGTGTGTGTAATATGTGTGTATACACACACACACACACACACATATATATCAGCAAATATTACAAAATGATTTGCCATTCCTCCTCTCACAACACAAAATATGGCAAAGTAAGAATAATCATTTTTAAATATTAGTTATATAAATATAAAAAATAGTTGTCGAAAAAAAAAAGATTATTTGTATATATATGTCATATGTAGTAAATAGATATCTTGTAAAAAGAATTCAAAGAACATAAAAAAAGCATTTTATTTAGAATTGTAGTATATGTGTTTTAATATAAGATCAGACAAACAGTTTACTTAAAAGTAAACGTATTTAGGTTTTTTTAAATTCCTCAAGACAGAGCTCATTACTTACATGTAAAGAGCAGTCTTTGTAACATAAAAAACAAAGAAACAAATAGCCAAAAAATACTGCTACTGAGTTTATAAGAAAATTGAATTATAAACAAAACGCTTATATTATATAATTATGTATGAAAGAGAAACAAAATTCTATCTTAGATGGATAATTATAATTAATACTTGTGATACAAAATAATTTCTGGATTGAATGGTGTGATGAATAATTGGAGTAATATTTTTTCTTTAAATTTAACTTTGCGTACATAGAGCACTATAAGTACATATTCTTATACAGTTCAGTTTTATGGTAAGTCATTATAATATATATATTACATATTTAATCTATTGAGAAAGATATAAATCAAGATATTACAGAAATTTTAGATATTCTAGAATTCTCTTTGTACGCATGGTTCACTTAAATTTAATTAATTTTGAAAGTGATATGGAAGAAAAATCTTTTATGATCTGTCTTGTGTAAATGCTAAATTTATTTGGCTTGTAAATTGCGAAAAAAATAATTTAAAGCACTGAAACAATAATGCGCAAAAAATTTGAATATTACATTGCCTAAGTAATTTGTATAAAATAGATCTGTAAAATAAAATTGTCACATCGTGATATATGGTGAGAGAAATAACGTAGTAATGTTTGCGAATTGAAAGTAGCAAAAACAATTATGTAATGTTAAAAAATTAATAGGTATTTTTATTTCTTGCCTTCATATTTTTTGAATCTAATTTAGTTACAAATTTTTTTTCCTTTCTATTCTGTTCTTTTTTTGTTTCTTTTTATATTTATTTTTGAAAACTATTGTAGTTATATATATTTTCTGTGACCTGGCTTAATATTAATAATTAATAGAAAGAAAAAAAATATTGATTTTTTTTTTAATCTATTTAGTTATAAATATCGAATAATAGAAAAAAATTCGCGGAATGTATTTGAAATTGATACAATAATACAACTAAGTATACATCTTTGTGTAATATAAATATAGTGAATAATAAAACACATAATATAAGTCATAAGTCGGAATAACTACAAACAATTTCAAAATAGCCCTTATATAAATAAAATTTATGAATGTACAAAATTTAAAAAAAAATTATGAAATTAAATTCTTGTACTAAATTTAATTCCATTAATCAAAATAAAATAAGGAAAAATTACGTGAAAGAATATGTACAAAGAATACACAATTTTGATTGCATAATGCAAAGTTTTACGTATATAATGATACAAAAAGAATAGTATTATTTTAATTCATAATATTTAATTCTTTTTTGTTATAAAGCGTAATGAAATGAATCTTTGTATATATATTTAAATATAGTAAATCTATAACCAAAATATATACTTTTAAATTGCGATGGCACCAATGAATTACAGTTTTCTTTTTTTATTGCATTAATATTCAGACATGATATCTATCAAAATAATAATATAGTTACCTTATTTCATATATAGCACAATAATATTTTTAATAAAATATTTTTTTACTGTTAATCATTAAAATAGATTAAGAGTCTTTTTATTTGAAAATTTTATTTTAATTCAAAATGATTTATAGACAGAAATTTACAATTAAATTATATTTTTACTTCAGAAAAAAAGTTTTTAATAATAAACTATAAAAAATGCGTTTAAAATGAGAAAAAAGAAAAAAATAAGTAAAAAATATATTGTAATCATTTTACTTTTGTGACATGATATTTTCTATATGATGTATAATATAAAATGTTACCAAAATTAAATAATTTTCAATATTTTATTTTATTAAAGATATTTGAAATTTATTTAAGAATTGATTATATATCATTATTTACATAACACGATATATTTATAAAAAGATTTATAAAAATTCATGTTAAATATGATTATTAGATATTCGTATTTTTTGTATAAATCATAAAAACTTTGTTTAAAATACTAATTTATTTTTCCTCTTAATATTTAATTTGTAATTCATACTATAACTACAATATATATAAATATTATATAATAATAATAAATATTTTATGTTTTATTATTATAGAATGATATTCTTTTAATAAAACTATATTAATATGAAGAAAACTGTTTATTTATTGTTTATTTTTATATGTATATATTATATGTATATTTATTAAATTTTTATATATATGAATTATATATTATATATTATTACAGTTATTAATTGTAATTTATAATCAACAATTATAAATTCATATTCGAATTTCATTAACAAAAAATATTTAATTATAAAAAAATATAAAAAAATTATAAAAAAATTGCTATTTTGGAAAAGTAGATTATATTTTGATAATCATGCTATAAATTATATATTTTATAAAATTATTATATTTATAATATAAATTATATTTATAATATATATTAATAATAATAAATTATATATTTTATAAAATTATTATATTATAAATATAATAATTTTATAAAATATATAATTTTTATTTTTAATGAAATGAATGTTTTCAATTATTCATTATTTGACTTTTCTTTAATACAAACATGAATTATGTTTGTTACAAAAAATATAAAGTAATATAAGAATACGTATTTATAACAAAATTCTTCGTGTTTAAACTTATTATTTAAATTATTATAAATTAATTTATTACTAATGTTTGTACACAAAGTAAAATTTAAATATACGCATGTGAAATTATATATCGCGCTTAGTGCGCCATCTCGAAATTTAAAGAAAAACATGCAATGTTATGTCTTATCCCTAATATATCAATGGTTTTAATCTTCCTGTCATTGGTCAGGGAATGAGAAAGTCTTCCCACTTTCTAGTAGGATTCGTTTCTTCAGTATGTTACTGACTACGGTGAGAGGTGGATTTGTTGTGCAATGTTCGTATAGTGTTCAAGTTTTCATGAAGTTTTGTGACTTTTGCACCGACATAGAAATTATGTCGACTCAAAATGGGTAATTTATCAATACTAGTGAAATTTAGTGCGGTACTTTTCTTTTGCATTTTGGATTATACGCGGGCTGATAACGAATTACAAGGTAATGAAAATTTTCTGTAATTTTTGTATGGTATTTCCATACATCAAAAACACGTGGTTATTCTAATCTATCATATTTAACTGATTATTTATATTTTTTGACAATTAATATTTTGACTTTCTATTTTGTAAAACTTCTTTATAATATGTAAAATAATAATTAACGAAATGTTTCTTACTTTATAAATTTTAATTTATAATTAAATTTGCAATATCATATGTATAAATATATACATATACATAATAATAATATTATGTTTAGAAATATAAATATAAATAAAAATGGAAGATAAGATATTTTAATCTTGTTTTAAAAAATTTAAACTTTATTTTTTCTTATTCAATATATAATATTGCTTTTTAAATTATATTTTTTAATTAAATTTTAATCGTGTGATTATTATATCTGAATATATTAATCATGTTACTATATATGTTACTATATTTGTATTTTTTTTTATTGCATTTGAAACGCAAGTGATCGATCTATTTCATTTTGAAATTAATTATACAATGATAGTTTGTAAGCGCATTATATCAGAAATCCTTCTTTCGTATCAATTTTGTTTCTTTATTTTATATTCATTGTACTGTAATACATCGTATTGTTAATTATTCGTAGAATTCCTATTTAATATTAATTACATTTTGGTTATATAATATTTAAATTAAAATATTAGTTAAATTAAATAAAAATTTAAATATCATAGAAAATTTAATTTCACTTTTTATTGACATTCTTGAATTATTTTTTTTATTTAATTTATAATATTTAATATTATTTTATAATATTTATTGTATTATTATAATTTTTAATTGTATGATTATATCATGATTATAAATTGTTTTTTAATTATATTGTTTAAATGTTATTTGCAAATAATGTTATAAGTTATTTAAATAAATTTTTTTGAATTAAATTTTTAAATTTCAGCAATTCAGGATTCTTTCGAATCCGTAAAATGCAAAAATAAAATATAAAATAAATCTTAATGATAGTAATAGTGATATTAATCCCACACTTAAATATCTATTTTATCCAATATTATAATGTCCAATCTCATAATGAATAGATATTAAGTAAATGTAACGATAGTTCATCCGTTATACATATTAGATGCCAATTCTATTGTCTAATGTGTTTATATAAAATGTTGATAAGGGATAGTTGCATACTGACGCATACGCTGCCACGTACTTAAAGGCAAAATTTAATAGCACTTAAAATTTTGTGTTATTAACTTAAAAACTTAAACTAAAAACAATGGCATAGAAATAAATATACTTAAAAACTATTTAAATCGAGAACGTGTTCATTTTTTAAATAATTAAAAAAAAAAATTTTTCTTTTTAATATATACGTATGTATAGATGTAATATAATACATATACGTAATAATATAATATATAATATTATTATGTTATATTGGATGTATATATATATATATATATAATATTATAATATACATGTATATATTTTAGCAAAATGTAAAATATTTCATATAAATTGGGGATATATAATTTTCCCTAATGTTGTTCAAATATCATCAAAATATGTGATATTCAAAAGATGTGAATATGACAATATTCAAGTAAATGAATTTTTTATAATTTCTTCATCAATAGAATCAAAATTTAGAAAATAGAATTTAAAATTACAAGTATACGAATAATTAATTTTCATATTATCTATAAATAATAGATTCTATAATTATCTAATCTTTAATCTTTTTCTATAATTATCTATCTTCAAATAATAATATTCGAAATAGTTTTTGTTCATATATATTGTATATTATTCGTCTATATAAAATTCAACTAAATATATGAATATTTTTTTGACTATTAATTTATTAATAGTTAAATTATTAATTGATTAATTATTATTAATTATAATTATTATAAATTATTATTATTATAATTATTATTAATTATTAATTGATTAATTTATAAGACATAATCAATTTATAATCAAATTATTTTAAATTTTAAATTAAATTATATTTAGTTATATTTAATTATTTAATAGTTATATTTATAATTTAATTATATTTAAATTAAATATTTATAAATTTTGTATGTAATGAAATCTAAATTTAATCATTTTTTTTAAAATAATCTTTTTTTTGTACTGAAATAGTTTTTATTTTCTAGTATATATTTCATATAACATATTTTTTGTAATTCATTTTAAATCTCCTTACACATATACACATACAAAATATCTGATTAATTTCATTTTCAAATATGAAAAAATAAATCAATAAATTAAATTTTGTCAATAAAGAAGTTCCAAAATAATTATTTGTCATAAAAATATTTATATTATTTTGATGTAAAAATTGATAATTGATAAAAAAAATCAAGTTGAATCGCAAAAGATCTTTTACGCAATTGAAGAAAAAGACTTCTAGAATATGTTTAAAATAAATAGAAATGAAATCGTGGAATTAATATAGATATTTAAATTAGATGATAATTAAAAATTTTCTTAACACAATCCTGTTTCTTTTTGATTGATTTTATATATACCATATTTTATTGATTTTAATTTTAATTAATTTCAATTTCAATTTTATTTCATTTAGCCTAAACTTTGATTAAAAAAATTGTACCAGCAATTAGCTATAATTTGTTTACAATTTTATATACAAATAAACTTTATATTATATTTCGAAAAACAAATAATTTAAATAAAAATTTAATATTTAAAATATTCTATAAAATATGTTTGTGTGTATGTATTGAATAATGTTAGTTAAAATTACAAATAATTTATA